GGTTAGTGTCAGTTTTGGTGAACATTACATATACTATGTTGCATTATTTTAGCAAGTCAATAATCTGCAATTCCTAGTAGCATGAACTTCAATCCTTACAAATGGCTGTGCTTTACATGAAGATACAGGAACTTTGTATCAGTCCCGGGTTCAGTTCATTGTCTATCTGCAACAAACAAGAGTGAAGTTCATAATGAAAGAAGAATATGCAAATACGTTTTGAGTTCTACCTTTTAAATACATAACACAACATATCAAAACATTTTTAAAATTTAACAATTGCTGTTATAATGGTATTTCAAAGTCACTGGCATCAACATAACAGGGGTAGGCCGAGAGTATAAATTCATTTTAATAATTCTTCTATTAATGTTCATTAACTTAGTTGCAACAGCAGTGGACACTTCACAGGTTTGTAAAGGACTGAAACCAAGTATCTGCCACAGTTGTGTGGATATGGGCCATCTGTTAGAATTGAATTTGAGATTATAATTTGATTTACAACACTGTGTACCTTGCATAACATACACAATTCTAGCAGATCGTAAGAGGTAATTAAATATTTTACATGTACACCAATTGCTAGGCAATGAGTCAGTAAATAAGTTCCTGTGAGTAGAGATTTTTGGTAAATAGTCCATTGGTAGGTTACACAATAACAGACGAGGCTGTGTCTTCTGCGTGGTTGGTACCAGGCAACAGTAGAACAACTGGGTTATACAATCTGTTTCTAAGCAACAGAACTTGAAAACACATTTACAATAATAGGTCTTCCCTATGGGGTCTATGCCAAAGGTTTGTAGGGGACAGTGAAGGTCATTTACAGTCAGTTGTAGCTAGTCATATCTGAAAAGCCACGAGTCAAAAACACGAAGCCGTCATGGAAAGGACTTATGTGGATTCAGCTGTTAAGTGTTAATGGACGTTGTAGGAGGTTTAACAGGAGTGGTATCAGCAAATTCATCAATAGATATTATTCTTCATGACACTTATTACATTGTAGCCCACTTCCATTATGTTTTATCAATAGGAGCAGTATTCGCAATCATAGCTGGGTTTATTCAATGATATCCACTATTTACAGGATTAACTTTAAATCCTAAATGACTAAAAGCACTATTTATAGTAATGTTTGTTGGAGTAAACATGAAACACTTTACGTGTGCTGTAGTGAAGTAATATCTGGAGTGATTTGAAGCACTAGTTCCTGTGTTTCAATTGCTTTCAAGTAGGGGACAAGTGTGTGTGTAACAGTGAATTATAAAATGCAGAAACAGTGACAGTGCTGTGCTAATTGTAATTCAGAGAGAGTGTAACCAAAGTGCTAATAAATCCAATTATCTGAACTAGATCCTGTCATTTTCATCGTGCATACCCGCTTACAGGTGACAATATCAATGAATTTTATCTATTTATATATTACTTACTTACTTACTCACTCATGGAGCTGAGCCCTTCTGGAGGAGCTGCCAATCCTGCAGCTACTCAAGAATTTCCCAGCATTTTATGGAACCCAAAGGTTCATTACAGTGTTCACAAGACCCCTCCACTGGTCCCTATCCTGAGCTAGATCAATCCAATCCATATTATTCCAGCCTATCTCTCTAAGATTCATTTTAATATTGTCCACCCACCTATGCCTTGGTCTTCCCAGTGGTCTCTTTCCGTCTGGCTTTCCAACCAATATCCTATATGCATTCCTCCTCTCTCCCATTCATGCTACATGCCCTGCCCACCCCATCCTCCTTGACTTGATCACTCTAATTATACTTAGAGAAGAGTACAAGTTATAAAGCTCCTCATTATGCAGTTTTCTCCAACCTCCTGTCACTGCATCTCTCTTTGGTCCAAATATTCTCCTTAACACCCTGTTCTCAAACACCCTCAGTCTATGTTCCTCCCTCAATGTCAGAGACCAAGTTTCACACCCATACAGAACCACAGGCAAAATTACAGTTTCGTATATTCTAATTTTTATGTTTTTAGACAGCAAACGAGAAGACAAAAAGGTTCTGGACTGAATGGAAGCAAGCATTACCCGAGTTCAATCTCCCCTTAATTTCCTCCTGTTATCGTTGTTCCCAAATATCTGAACTGTGCCACATTTTCAGAACAGTTGTTTCTTATCTTTATGTCATGATTTTGCATGAGCATAATTGTCAAACGCCAGACAGCATGATATATTTACCCTGACTGAATACACGTTTCAGATGAAATAAGAAAATTTCTGTCCCTGTGAGTTTTTGGTGGTCTTGGAAGAGACTAAACATATAGGAAACTGCCTTCATTTGAATTTTAAAGGCATATTTGAATGGAATAAAGCAATACTTAGGTGGAATTTTGAAAATATAGATAGTGTATGTCCTACAAGTACTGAAGCAGAATCCACTTAGTATTCAACTTTTTTCCTAAAGTTGTTAGTTTTTGTGAATGGTAGGTGTATTCGCCCCTATTCATAATCTTAAGCTATGTACAGAGACAAAAGCTGTGAGTACACAGGCCTTCTTTGTTCACCCATACACCCTCACAGACATTGGCAACACAGAAAGAATCCAGACATTACTGTCCCAACACCTTTCGGTATCAAAAGAGGGAGGCTGTTATGTTTAGTGCCCAGACCTACAATTGTGTAAGTACAAAATAAGTTATTATTAAAGCAAGAGAAATAATGTCATTATGATTTCAGAGTCAGCATGAGGTACAGGATATCTTATTTGTGTCCTTATTTTAATCGTTCCATGGCAAACTATGAGAAGTCCGATTCTGCTCCCAAAATACTTATATACATATATTAAAAAAAAAGACCCTTCAAAGACACTTGATTTGAAAGACAGGTTCCAAATAGACATATAATTGGCAACCTGTTCTTAACAATTACAAATTCTACTGTACCATTTATACAAAAATAAAACTCTTCTTTCCCTCCATCTTTCCTAACATTTGGTTCAAAAGATGTTTCTGTGATCTACAGAGTTATTGCTGAATGTTCCTGTCATGGAGTTCAAACTGGTGACTCCACTGTTTTTACACCTTGTACCTTATACTGCCCATCTGCTGAACAGTACTGGAACTATTTAACGTCTTCAGGGCCTACAGAGTTGCACACTGTTGGTGTCAAGCTTAAGTGGCTAGGATAGGAGAAATGAGGAATGCATAGCAAATATGTAGGGAAATCCTCTTGTGGAAAGTCTATTCAGGATATAAAGGTGGATAACATTAGCTAGATCTTAGGGAGAGGATTTGAGATTGAAGCAAGTGGCTGAGGAACATGCCCAGTGTAGAGTAGGCTTTTGTGTTGAGCAACTGCAATTGTATTTTGTTAAAAATGAATTGGTGCATAAAGATTATGAACGTCTGTGTCACTGATTCACTAACTGGCAAATCTAGACACTCTGAGCTGCATAAATGTAATAGGGCCAGATTGACAGGACAGGTGAACCAACTGGACCTTACATCAGCATAATTGCTATTGACTCTTATTACATCAAAATGAATTCCTCCTATCAATTTCATCTTACTGTGACCATTATTTGGCAGCCATCATAATACATTATGCATTAGTGTAAATGCCTGAAGGCACTCAGACTCACCTAGTGGTCTAATGTTTCTTTCTCATAGTTCTGGGTATAGAAATTCTAAGTTGTTTACATAGGTCTCCAGCGTGTATTTCAAATTGCTAGTCTCTGCTTGTGCCCTCTCCACCTGGCCAGCAACCGCTGCTTGTTCTTCCTGTTCACACAAAGCACATAATACATCATGATATCATGTGTTATACATTTCTCACCACCAAGTGTTTCATGTGCATGGTGCAGGATGCAGTATATGGAAGACTCCCCTGTATTACATTCAACAACACATCCGTGTGGATCCCCATGAGGTTACAAATGAGGAACAAGGTTCCATACATACAGCCACTGCAATATAAGCATTATATATGTTATGAAAGAAATCTTACTGAATACTCTGGGCAACCAAGCCAAAGAAGTTAATCACTTCACTTAGTTCACAGGAATTGCAACCACAGAAATTTTAGTGTGTCCACTTTTCATTGTACCTTAAAATCCTACAGAGTGCCCATTACAATCAATCCCCCCATCCATACTTCTGTACAGATGAAGTTAGTTGAGAAACACTGAACAAATTTTCATGAAATATGATACTGTGAAATTTTACACATTCCAATACTTTTTTTTCAATGAGACAAATATAATGGGACCCAAGAAAAATTTTTTGTTACTGTCAGACAGTTCCAGTTTTGTTGATGTGGGGGCACCCTCTCTGATAACGTCCTCACAGAGGCTACATAACCAAACAAGCCAGGGTGAGTGGCAGGGATATCCAGTGTGTTGACAGGCATGATCTGGACACCAACAGTGGAGCAGTGCACTGAGACACGAGTTGGCAGATGTGATAATATTTATTATAATCTAAATGAATGATTTCTCTCAGAGAATATGCTCACTGAACAACTGCACTAATAAGGAGAGCAATACACTGAACACAGATATGTGACACCTTTAGTTGGAACCTGCTTTTAAATGTATATCACTTAATGTCACATTGCAATGAACAACACCCTTTCTTTGAATTCCAAATTTCCAGGTAAAATATAACAAGGCTGCATATTCAAAGTGAATTCACATAGTTCTGATAATACTTCCCATAGAATGTCAGACTAGTACTTCACCTAGAATTTAGCTTTATTTTTTTACATCTTTTCTGTACACAAATAATAATCACCTAACATTCAGTGCCACTAAAAGCATGGTTTAATAAATCACAGTCAAATGAAGAACATAGATGGAATCTTTTAATGTTATCCTACCATCTCGTTTTGAGTCTAACAACTATGCAGGTACCAGCATGAAGTACAGAATATCTTACAAAGTAGATAACTTTCAGTCCAGTATGACATACAGGTTTACAGCACTTCAGTCTTTATTCGCCTTACATGTTTCGATTCAAAAGAATCATCCTCAGAGGCGCACCACGAGCAGGAAACACTGTCACATAAGATGTTTTGACATTCATTTAGGTTATGAATAGTGCTCACTATATCACATAGGGCAAACTGTGATATAGTGAGCACTATTCATAATCTATGTGCATAATGTCAAAACATCTTATGTGACAGTGTTTCCTGCTCGTGGTGCGCCTCTGAGGATGATTCTTTTGAATCGAAACATGTAAGGCGAATAAAGACTGAAGTACCGTAAACCTGTATGTCATACTGGACTGAAAGTTATCTACTTTGTAATTGATAGTGTGACGGACCAGAATGAGACAAATCAAATTAACAGAATATCTTATTTGTGTCCATCTTTTAATCATCCCACTGCAAACTGTGAGAAGTCTGATCCAATTCTCAAAATATATTAGAAAATATAATCCCCTTCCCTGATGCTTGATTTGGAAAACAAGTTTCAAATTGGCAACCTGCTCTTAAAAATTACAAATTCTACAGTATCATTTATATAAAAATGAAATTCTTCTTTCTCTTCAGTTTTCTAACATTTGTTTTGAAAGGTGTTTCTGTGATCTATTCAGTTATTCCTGAATTATGCTGTTATGGAGTTCACACTGGTGACTTCATTGTTCGTACGACCTCCACCACCCTTCACCTGAACAGTACTGCAACAATTTTATGTCTTGAGGGCCTAAAAGAGTTGCACAGTGTTGGTGCTGAGCTTAAGTGACTAGGATAAGATAAATGAGCAATACATAATGAACATGAGGAGAAATCCTCTTGGTAAATATCTATTCAGGATACCAAATACGATAACATTAGTTACATCTTAAGGAAAGCATCTCACATTGATGCAAGTGCCTGAGGGACATGTCCCTCAGTGGGCTTTCGTGTTGAGCAGCTGCAATTATATTTTGTCAAAAAGAAATTGTTGCATAAACAATATAACCTCCTATAAATGACAGATTCAATAACTGGTAACTCCAAACATAAAGCTCATTTTGAGAAGATGAGTGAATCAAATGACCCATATGTCAGCATACGCAGTGTGACAGTTAAGTTCCCGAATTGAGGCCAACAAAACCCACAAAAAAGAAAAAAAGTATTTATTACTACCATCACTCAAAGTTTCTTCCCATATTGCCTTCGGTTCTCTCATCACAGTCTGTTGGATCAATGAAACAGCCTCAAATCTCATCTCTTTCATCGCAATTATTAATTTAGGGAATAAAATAAGTCAGCCAGCACTAAATACGGGGTGTAATTGGATGGGATAAAACGGGGATCCCTCATTTCGCTAAAATCTCGGAGATAACGCCCACAGAATGTGTCGACATGTCTTCGTGTTTTTTCTACCATTTTATTTTTTGTTTTCCATCCAGTTGGGTTCTAACATGATGTCTGGATAATCTTATTCAGGCACACTCTTTATTTATCCTATGTCATTAAAAGACCTCACAGATCCTCAAGAAGGTGACTCCTGCCTGCATCAGTGGGTTACTACCTGGGATCTTCAGATGTCTGGACATCTGCAAATTTAATATACTGGGCACACTGCCAGATTGACATAACTTAACTTGGCAATCATACAAACACTTTAAATAGTAATGTAAATGCATAGCGCTTATCTTTCCTTCAGAAAGGCAGGGCATAACAAATGATTCTAAGTTCAATCAGGTTGAACCCAGCCTTACTTACCTGGTGGTCTGACTTTTGTTCCATGGCATGTTGACATAAAAATTCTATCTCGTTTTGACATTTCACCAGCAGGTTTTCAAACATTGCTCTCTCTTGTAGTCCCCTTGCAGCCACACACTCCAGCTTGGCAAATAGGCCAATTAGTTCTGCCTGTTCACACAAACCACACAATGTCACGATATGAAGTGTAATACATAAATGTTGTGGTCATCAATTGGCAGTCATCTAAATATTTTATGCATCAATGTAAATGCATGGAGAAGAAATTGCTCTTTCATAATGAAGGCTGGTAAAATAGTAAAATACATGGTTCTGGTTTCAGCAGAGCTGACACACATCTAACTCACCTGGTAGGCTGCTTTTATTTCCATTATGTGATGTTGTAGACTCTCATTCTCTTCTAGACAGTGCGCCAGGTAGTTCTCCAACATCGTCTTTTCTATATGTGTCCGTATAACCATATCTTCCAACTTGCTATCAGGTTTTGATCGTTCTACCTGGTCACACAAATAGCAGAATACATGAAAGGTTAATCAACTCTATCCATTGTGCCTGATATGATGANATTTAGCAGAATATATTTTGATATGAAGTAAAATACACTTCTCAAATCAAATGTTTGATGTGTATGGTGTAGCAATTCATTCTATGAATATCACTACCAAAACATTCAAACTTTCATCATGCATTGTCATACTGTCTAATAAATTGAGTCACGAATTAAAGCCCCATCTACAGTCACTCAATACGTGACAGTTTTTATTTATTTATTCAAAATCTACTTATAACAATCGGGTTACATGGTATGACAATAAAGTCCGCGAAATTGCCACCGTGTGCTTGCCATGGCAGCTGTATACAGAAACCTCAGTATGGTTTCATGACGTTGGCATACCAGCATTTCACAGTTGTGTTGCTGATCTATGGCAGTCTCTTTCTGAGTGGTGTCTATTATTGCCTTAGTGAGTTTTGGTGTGCCGATGCGAGAATGTCAGAGCTTGAATTAGAACAACAGACGAACATTAAATTTCTGTTAAACTTGGCAAGAGTGGAAGCAAGATCAGGGAGATGCTACTGCAAGTTTATGGGGATACAGCAGTTTACAAGTGGGTGACACGTTTTTCTGAGGGAAGAGAAATTATCGTTGACAAAGAGAGATCAGGACGTCTAGCAAAAAGCAGAACTGAAGAAAACACTGCAAAATTTAATCAGATTTTTCATGAAAATCATCGGCTGTCAGAAGCATAGCAGAGCAAGCAAATATCAACAGAGAAACAGTTAGGAAAATCTTAACTAAGATCTTGACATGAAGAAAGTGTGTGCAAAAAATAGTCCCAAAGTAGCTCAAAGCAGAAAACTGTCTTTGTTAAAGTTTTTAGCTAGCAAACAAATAACTGTGCTGGAACACCCTCCCTATTCACAGGATATATTCTTATATAAAACTACATAACCACTTACACAAATTATTTATGTTCATTTAAGCAATTTAATTAAAGTGAAATTAAATTGAGGAATGTATACACATGTGCAGACACACATTATATACACATACATGGCTTCTATGGCTTAACTACACAGTGATTGCATGCATAGAAGCCTGTGCACTAAACCAGTGAGTGCTCCATTGAGAAAACCCAATAAAAGAATCGTTAAAGAGTTCTGTCTTCAGGGATATGATGCCGTATAGTTTGCTAAAGTCAAATAAAATTTCTGAGGAACATTTCACCTCCATCTTCAGTGTCGAAGAAAGAAAAGCCAGGTTCTGCTTGCCACTGCTTTCCTGCTTGGCTTATTCTTCGAACCTGAAGGAAGTGACAAGTTCCTTCAAAATGATGGTTGACTTTCAATGGACTATATGGTCTCATATCCCAGAAGAACTCTTCATAACTACAGCTGCGAGAACCAAAAATCCTATAAAAGAATTGTCACTCAGTCAAAGCCATGACCACTGCAACACACCTGAGTTCATCAACCATCAACCAAAACCATGTACCAATTCTGGTACAAATACATGCTTTCCAAATTTGATAAAACATATAGAACCACCTCACACTCGATTTATCCAGGTGGACTTATCCCACCTGAATCCAGTCATTGGCATAAGAGATAAATGAAGGTCAAGGACAAGAGTGGAGACAGTGGAACTGTGTGAATACAAAGATCATTAAAATAGCATAACATCAGATGGATCTCACAAAGAGGATCAGGGATTGATGGAATTAAGGATCATGCAAAACTGAGGGCTTTCATATTGAGCAGCTAAAATTTTATTTTGTAAAAATGAACTGGACTGTAAACAATACAAACATCTGTCAGCATGACTGGCTACCCACGATATCCAAATGCTTGGGTCTCTGTGGTCATAAAATACTGTGAGCAGGGCCAGATTGAGAAGTAAGGGCAAGGAAGTGAACCCTAGATCAGTATGTTCTATACTTTTCATTCAATTGTATTACTAAAACTAATTTCATTATTTTCTGCTCATGTCTTTTAATGCCGTGTGTATTAACTGCCATTTGTGTAGACATTCTTTGTGGCAATATAAATTCAGAGCATTGTTCTTTCCTTCAAAAAGGCAGGACAAAAAGAAATGATTCTAATTTGATTAAAACTGAACCCAGGCTTATTCACCTGGTGGTATCTCTCTTTTTCCATGATGTGTTGGCGCAGTATTTCTGTCTCTTTCCGACACCCTTCCAGAAGATTTTCAAACACCATCCTTTCTTGTAGTCCCCTTGTAGCCATACTCTCCAGCTCAGCAACACAGTCTGCTACTGCTACCTGGTTGCACAAACCACAAAATACATAAAGGTGTGAAGCATGGTACATATCTCAATCCTAGTTTTGAGTGCATTTTGTAGGATGCATCTTTCTAAAGTCTCCTGTCCATTTAAAGCAAACTCACTTTCATGCTATTCCCCATATTACAAATAAGTCTGTGGAAGCAGAGTTATGGTGGTATATAAATTATGACTAATAGAGGGACCTGTTCCTACCCAATTCAAAATTATGTCAAGGAGGTCAGACACAGTACTTGCTTTGCGGGAAATATAACCACAGTGATTTCAGTGATGGTCATTTCAAAATGGTTATAATGTGGTCACCTTTCATAGGAAATTCAAATAACTACACAGCCGACATAACAAAAATTCCAGCCATCCATCTGTCCATAACTACAAATGAATCAACAAATATTGAACAAATTTTCATGTCATATGACATTGGGAAGATTTATAATGCATATTTCTATATCAGGCAAATATACTGGGCACATTATTTTACCAAGTTCGATATAAGGAAGAAAGAGGCATGGGGTATAGATTGGTGAACTGGATTTATTGACCACTTGTATACACCACTCAGAACTACACTTTACAGATTACTAACACACATGGTCATGCCGTTGCCCACTGGCTAACACTCCACACCTGAACTCATAGCGCTGTCTTCTCAGCCTCCCTTGCAGAGCCCAACTGTCGACTAACTGCCCACTTGGGAACTTCAGAACTCAACTAACTATTGTCAGCTGAACTCATAACCACTTTGCTCAGACTGAACAGAAAACACCTTTTCAAACAAAACTCCTATTTTTGTTTTACTTCATTGATGCATAGAAACGGCAGTTCTTTGACTGTTGCTTGCATATTTGTTTTTGCAGGTATGTGTTTACCACCATTATCAGTGAACTATTCTGGCTTTCAGGCATAATGTCACAATACTAAGATGCTGCTCCCACCTTGTCTCCCTTTTAACTCCATGTGACAGAAATTCTGAGGCTGTATCCAACAAATTCAATGAATACACATCAGCACTTAAACTATACCTTATTCCTCCACAAGTGTTACACTGTAATGGTTACTACACTTGAGTTGGAAGTATGAATATTAATTTCTCTCCAGTAGATGTTTATGATTGACAATGATTTTCTTCATTTTTCTCAGTAACTCCATAAAAATTCTGATGTAGACAGTTATAACGCCCATCAAAAACATTACCAGTTCATTCATAATTAAATCATTCCATCAGTTGACATTCTATAATATTTGTATTTCTGAAATATTGTGAAATAGGGGAAAAAGAGAATCATACCTCTAAGGTTAACATATCTTTCACAGTTTTCATTGGGAATAGATGTATCTATTTTACAGTTCTGTTGGGTTAGCAGTTGGGATCACAAGGAAAGAAATGTTGATCATGATACTTATTTTTGCTAAAGGAAAAATTTCTGTCACTGTAGAATGTGAAGATACAACAACACTAATACACAACATGAACAATTTGACACAGATATGAGATAGCTCTGGTCAGATCTTGCGCTTATAATACAGTATAGGTGAACTAATTCATCAACTGACTGGGTATCACTCCAACTTTGAATTCAGGATTCCCAGGTTCAAATCTCAGAATAGACTGACTATTACAGCTGTAGTTTCGGGGTACTAATTGCTCCTTCTGCTGGTCACGATAGCCGAGCGGTCTAAGGCATGCACTGTCTTCGCTCACTCGGAAGCCGAGATCATGGGTTCGAATCCCACTCAGGGCATGGATGTTTGTTTGCGTTTTTCTGTGTTTGTCTACAGGTAGAGGCCTTGTGATGAGCTGATCACTCGCCCAAGGAGTCCTACCGTATGTGTAAGATCTAGAAAAACCGAAGTAAACAGAGTTCATGGAGGTAGGCCTAGGCCCACTGGGGCTGTAGTGCCAAGGAAAAAAAAATGCTCCTTCTAGGAAAATGCGAGGTTAGTACCACAAACAACATCTGTTCCATTCCACACACATGATTTTAATTGTGCAGAGTGAGAACAGTGATGGGTTAAGGGATAATGGACTGAGGTATGATTCCCAGCATAAGCAAGAGATTCTCCCCTTCTCCACAGCAACCAGACTGACTCCAGGGCATGCACAGCCTCCTATCCAATGCCTAACAAGGAGGCCTTTCCCACAGAAAAGCAGCCAGGTAGTGAAGCCCACCAGTCCCTTACAAGCAGTGCTGAGGACAAGAAACTTTGAGCTATACCTCCACTCCCACATACCCCTCATGGTATGGTGCTTAATTAATTAAGCAGGGGGGAAAACTTTACCTAATAGCTATCTATTAAATTGTCACTATATAATCTGACATATGGATAGCATCATTAAATAAAACACAAACAAATAAACATAATTATATAAGGCATATGTTAATCTTATCATATCGTTCTTCGTCTTCCGTACACTTAGATGCCAACATGATGAACAGAGAATCTTATTTACGTCCACGTTTTAATCATTTCATGTCAGAATCCTTTAGCTATTCAAGAATATACCAAAATTTCATGGAACCCAACTGTTCATCATTGTGCCCTCATCTCATGCCAGACTGTCATAAATGTGATTCATTCCAAAAATATACCTACAGAAGACAGCCCCACCCATGACCCTTGATTTGGAAGACAGATTTCATATCTGGCACTGTGATTAAAACTGCAAACTAAATAGTTTCACTGCTGTAAAACTGAACATTCTTTTTCTGACATAAATTTAAGAAGTTATGCAAGAATTTCCTTACTGTCAATTTCAAAATGGTGACCCCAGTGTTCAAACGCCCTCTGCAGGCCACAACTGAAAATATCACTGGAACAATTTGTTACCATGCAGACCTGTAGTTTTGCTGAGTATTGCTAGTGAACATAACTCATCATGATACCAGAGATGCGGAATGCATAAGCAGTATTGTGAGGAAACATCTTGGCAAAAATCCATTTGGAATATGAGGAAGGTTATTGTGTGACAATACTAGATGGATCTTAAGAAAAGGAGCCAAACTGATGGAAATGGCTGAGGATGGGGTCAAGCAGTGGCCCCTCATCCTGAACATTTGCAATTTCATTTTGTCAAAAATGAACTGTGTCATCATATGCAATATAAACATCTGGCACAATCAGTGGTTCACTGCCTGGGACCTCCAGACTCCTACAGGTCCAGGAGTGACTGCAGGCAGGGCGTGCTCGATAGAGCAGATAAACCAAGTGGTCCCTACTTCAGTATATTTTATAACTCCTATTTGATTTTATTAAAAGAGATTAAATTTCTGCTGTCATTCCAATATTTTAACCATAAATTGGTAGTCATCTAAATATCTTACACATCAGTGTAAATGTATGGCAGAGTACCTGCTCTTCCTTACTGAAGGCAGTTTAAAAACATATGATTCTAGTTCTAATAGGGCTGACATATGTCTCACTCACTTGGTGGAGTGCTTCCTGTGATTTCATATGATGTCGCAGACTCTCATTCTCTTGCAGACAGCTAGCCAGCTGATTCTCCAAGGTCGCCTTATCCTTGCCTGTCCATTCAGCACTACCCTCCAGGCTGCTTTCAGGTCTGGATCGCTCTACCTGTTTGCACCAACCACACAGTACATCATGATATGCAGTGTATTGCACTTCTAAAGTCGAGTGCTTGATCTGAATGGTGTAGTGATCAGTTCTATGAATAACATTACCAATACATTTTCAAATATACCATAAGCATTGTGTCATATGACACTATATAAGTTATGCATTTTGCGCACCACTGTTAGACAGTAGAAGAAAAAAATCTTACTTCTGAGGATATCACACCTTTAACACTATGAACAGATACCTCAAATGCAAACTCTCATTCAGCTTGCAGTTGCCTTGATATTGCTGTATTCGTAATGATAGGAAGTGACTATCATAATATCTGTTGTTCACTAAGTGAATCATTTGTCTTGTAGCAGACTATGAAAGTACAATGACACTAAAGTACAAGACAAGCCACACTTGACCACTGTCAAGGTACAAGTTCTTGTAGCATAAAGTTCCATCCTGTTCTGCCTGAGCAAGGTCAGTTAACGACCTGAGACTAGAACTCATGTCTACCCATATCTGAATATACCAGCTGCCTTAACCCTTCTTGCCTCAGAAGACACCTTACTGGAATCCAGCAACAACACCGCTAACCTCATTATCCATCAATTTGAAAACAATGAGAAACAGATGGAGTAGGAGAGAATCAACTCTGAAGGTGCCTACAGGCAGTGTAGAAGTGCAAGGTGAGTGTTATAAAGTGCTGATACAACATCAAGCAGTTACAAAGTGTTGCACTCAAGAGACGGACAGTTATGTATGTTGCTGTCTTGTCACTACAATGCGAGGCTAAATCATGACATAAACATAGCCAACACATTCTTTCAAAATGTGGCACAGTTCAAATATCTGGGAAATACAGCAACAAATGAAAATGCAATTTAGGAGGAAATTAAGAGGAAACTGAATTTGGGTAATGCTTGCTACCATTCAGTTCAGAACCTTTTGTCTTCTTCTCCGATGTCCTAAAATGTAAAAAGTAGAATATACAAAACTATAATTTTACCTGTGGTTCTGTATGGGTGTGAAACTTGAGCTCTGACATTATGGGAAGTATATAAACTGAGTGTTTGAGGACAGGGTGCTGAGGAGAATATTTGAACCTAAGAGAGATGAAGTGACAGAAGGTTGGAGAAAATTGCATAATGAAGAGCTTCATAACTTGTACTCCTCACCAAACATAATTAGAATGATCAAGCCAAGGAGGATGTGATGGGTATGGCATGTAGCATGAATTGTGGAGAAGAGAAATGCATATAGGATACTGGTAGAAAAAACAGAAGGAAAGAGACCACTAAGAAGACCAAGACATAGGTAGGTGGATAACATTAAAATGGATCTTAGAGAGATAGGATGGGGTGACATGGACTGAATTGATCTGGTTCAGGATAAGGACCATTGGAGGGCTGTTAGGAACATGGTAATAAACCTTCAGGTTACATAAAATTTTGGGAAATTCTTCAGTACCCACCCAACTTGCGGCTTCTCAAAAAGGACTTTGCTCCATGGAGTTAGCCATTTTTTAATATTGTGACTATTAATTGACAGTCAAATAGACATTTCATGTTGATGCACAGCACCTAGCTTTCATTCAGAAATGCAGGACAGAAACAAATGATTCTAATTTCAATCAGACTGAAGCCAGGATTACTCACCTGGTGGTCTGGCCCTCCTGTCATACTTTGTTGGCATATAAAATCTATCTTGTTTTGATACAACACCAGCGCATTTTCAAATGCTGTTCTCTCCTTTAGTCTTCCTGCAGCCACAGTCTCCAGTTCAGCTATAAGGTTTGCTCGTGTTACCTGTTCACACAAAGCATAGGTTATAACATGATGTGAAGTGTAATACACTTCTCAAACCAAGTTTCTGATGACCACATTACATGATGCATCTTTTAAAGTCTCTCATACATTAAAGAAAAACCACAATGAGGGTGTGGAGACAGTCATATTAGCATAACCATTATGGCTAATGTGGAATAAATATTCCTGCCTAACTCTGGACAACCAAGTTATGGAGACTGGGGACATTACTTGTGTTAGAAATACAACTACAGAAATATCTTTGATGTTAATTTCAATTTGATTATAATGTAGTCACGTTTCAGAGGTCCTTGAAATCCTATCAAGTGCCACTCACAAACATTTGACCCATACATCTTTCCATACAGAGCTGAGAAATATTGAACAGATATACATCAAATACGATATCAGGAAGTTTCATGTATTCATATATTTTTATATCATGAGAATATACTAGACACTTTATTTTTGCCTGTTTTCCATAAAAAGAAAAGAGGCATGTGATATGAGAATGATGTGTGTGTTCCATTCCATTTCCCTTTAAAATTCACGTGGCAGTGATTCATAGCTTTGAAGCTATATCCAGCAGATTCAATGCATAAATATCTGCATTTAAGCTATAACCAATTTCCTCCACCACTAAAAAATGCAGTGCATTGTAGTAGTAATTAATTCTTTGTGGGAAGTCTGAATACATTTCTTTATCCACTGGCTTTTTATGATTGACGATTTTCTTGAGTTTTCCCAGTGACTCAAGGAAAATTCTGATGTAGGCCGTGATCATGTCCATCAACATTATTACCAGTTCATTCATAATCACACCACAATCATTCCATCAGCTGACATTCTATAATATTTGCAATTTGGAAATATTGTGAAGTGGGAAAAGTAGAGTATCTTACTTCAAAGAATAATATATTGTGACATGTCAATGCATTGCCAGGCAACAACTCGATGAAGACCCCGAGATATGTGCATACAACAACAGGATGAATGTTTGTAGCTTGTTGCTAGGCAACAGTCAGCATGCAAATGGAAAGGTGAGATAGCTATCATGTGACTTGTTTTCTGTGTGATCTGCACTCTACACAACAATAGAACTGTTTTCTGCATTGTCTGTTCCATGACCACATAACACAGGTCTGCTTGCAGCTAAGGAGAGGCTTCCCAGTGTTTTTGTGATTTCTGTTCATGCAGTCCCTGACGGCGTTCTTTGTAACGCCAATTGAGATGCTGCAGGCTGGTTCAGGTCCTGTGAAAGGATGTTCAGATCCTGTTCTTGCTGGTTGATCTGCCATTTCATTACCCATGATATCCTCATGACCTGGCATCCATATCATTTGAACCCTGTTATGTTCAGCCAGTTGTGTGAAGGACTGATGACAGTCCCAGAGCAGTTTTGAGGTAAGCTGGTGTTTGCTAAGTGTTTTAAATGCAGCTTGACTATCTGATCAAGAAGACTTCATAATGATTCAAAGTCTTAGTTTCAGTGTTGAGATCCATTGCCAGGAGATGAATAGTGAAGACAGAGATTCCTAGTGTGTGTCCAATGGTGAACTGTAAATTGTGTAAATCAGCAGTAGCGCTGTATTAATTGTAATTAAGAGAGAGAATGTAACAGAAGTGCTAATAAATCCAATCATCCAAACTAGAACCTGTTATTTTTGTCATGCATACCACCCTATACGTGACAATATCTTTCACAATTTTCACTGGGAACGGGTGTATCTAGTGCAGATTTCTGTTTGGTTGGCAGTTGGAATCACAATGAAAGATGTTGATGTGCTATTTTAAATTGTGCCTTTTCATTCATAAGACCTTTGAGATCAGATGGTAAGTTATGAAAAATGTTGATATGCGCTTTTCTGAAATCATGAGAGGTTAGCAATTGGTTTATGAAGACAGTGTTTGTGTCTTGTGTTAACAATGTGTACATCCGCATTCATCGGATTCTTCATTATTTGTGATGAACGTCCATGATGTGTATTTGTATCAACCATCTTACAGTGCACACAATTTCACCTTTCTCTTCACTACATGTTTTGGCACTAATGGGCCATCTTCAGGTGTGGTTTTATTTACGTCAAACCATTGCACTGTATGCCATCATGACTCCTTTATAAAATGATTAAAATGTATATGTGTCATGTATAATAATAAAGTTTATATGTTAAAACTTTTCAACATTTATCATCTATACGTCGCACTTCAAATTTCGCAAGTTACGTCAGTCCTCTCCTATGGGAGTACTCTTCCTATATTCTTGTGTATATTGTGTCCTATGTTGTGTCCTTTCCTTGTGACTGCATGCCCCAAATTTGACCCCTGGGGAACTCTATGTTTTATTATTCCCAAGTTTGAGTAGGTAATTTGGATTGAATCTGACGATTTTATTTCAATCTTTTGTTTTCTATCTGTTCGGTAGGATCTGAACCAACTTAACATTGTTCCTTGAATGCCAATTAATGTAATTTAGTTAATAAAATTTCATGATTTACACAGTCAAAGGCCTTTGCCAAGTCACAGAATATTCTACCGACATGCATTTTATGATTAATAGATTTCAACACACTGTCTGTTAACTTAAAGGCCGCATAGATGGATCTTAAGGAAAGGAGCCAAACTGATGGAAGTGGCTGAGATGGTGTCCAGCAGTGGCCCCTCATCCTGAACATTTGCAATTTCATTTTGTCAAAAATGAACTGTGTCATCATATGCAATATAAACATCTGGCACAATCAGTGGTTCACTGCCTGGGACCTCCAGACTCCTACAGGTCCAGGAGTGACTGCAGGCAGGGCGTGCTCGATAGAGCAGATAAACCAAGTGGTCCCTACTTCAGTATATTTTATAACTCCTATTTGATTTTATTAAAAGAGATTAAATTTCTGCTGTCATTCCAATATTTTGACCATAAATTGGTAGCCATCTAAATATGTTACACATCAGTGTAAATGTATTGCGGAGTACCTGCTCTTCCTTACTGAAGGCAGTTTAAAAACATATGATTCTAGTTCTAATAGGGCTGACATATGTCTCACTCACTTGGTGGAGTGCTTCCTGTGATTTCATATGATGTCGCAGACTCTCATTCTCTTGCAGACAGCTAGCCAGCTGATTCTCCAAGGTCACCTTATCCTTGCCTGTCCATTCAGCACTACCCTCCAGGTTGCTTTCAGGTCTGGATCGCTCTACCTGTTTGCACCAACCACACAGTACATCATGATATGCAGTGTATTGCACTTCTAAAGTCGAGTGCTTGATCTGAATGGTGTAGTGATCAGTTCTATGAATAACATTACCAATACATTTTCAAATATACCATAAGCATTGTGTCATATGACACTATATAAGTTATGCATTTTGCGCACCACTGTTAGACAGTAGAAGAAAAAAATCTTACTTCTGAGGATATCACACCTTTAACACTATGAACAGATACCTCAAATGCAAACTCTCATTCAGCTTGCAGTTGCCTTGATATTGCTGTATTCATAACAATAGGAAGTGACTATCATAATGTCTGTTGTTCACTAAGTGAATCATTTGTCTTGTAGCAGACTATGAAAGTACAATGACACTAAAGTACAAGACAAGCCACACTTGACACAGATGAGAGACAGCTTTATCAAATCTATCACAATATCCCAGTTTAATGACTACTACTCCTGCTCTGAATTCAGGCAACTCAGGTAAAAACTTTAGGCCAGAAAAGATAATCTGACTGGGAATCATGGTTTTGCCCATTCCTTCCAGACAACTGGAAGGTAACAGCCAGATAAACACACTGTTGCGAAAATGTTCTGGTCAACAGTCCATTGCTAGGGAATGACGCAGCATTACTGGTTGCTAGGGAATCGATGGTTTTCTGTAGGTCCGATCCGAGTCTATATAAGGAGTTGATCACAAATTAATAAAATCAAGGTTCTCCGCACCATTGGCAATTTCCCAAGGCGCAAACCAGTCCGCGATTTGCACATGGCATTTAAAATCCCGTACGTTTATGACTATATAACAAAATTATGCAGGAAACAACCAGAAGTCATACAAAATCATGAAAATGAGAATGTTCGCAACATTGGACAAGGCGAAGCGTGACACAGAAAGTATAAGAGTCTTAAACTTGGTGGCGGTCAGGCATACTACCGTTCAAGTGACTAGACTACCGTAAGGAAATCTCTTGGGAAACATCCCCTTGGAATACTGACACTGATGTCTCTATTGCCTACTAGTAATTTGATGATAAAAATAATTAATTAATATTTGTTTATTCAAAATTTAGATACAATATTGAAATTACATTATGATGATACTGCTAAATTTGAATACTGCATTCTTTGCTTTGTACAGGTATTACAGCATTCTTACAAAAATTGGTTTGAGAGCTATTTATATCGATATACTACAAATGTTGGTGGTTTAAAGAAGAAGCAAATTCTGACTTGGAGGACAAAAGCTACATTGCCAGAGAGCTAAAGGTCATAAGACCGTTCTGGGCAATAAGTTTAAGAGCCAATGGAAACCACAGTAGTAGACTTCTTCACTAGCCTACATTTTCAGTTCCACCAATAGCACATATTGGTGCACTATTCCTGTGATGTTACAGATCTGAACTCTTATAAAAATGGCATCAAAGCAGCCAACGCAAGCCAGTGCCAGTCCAGTCCTAGTGAGATGATCTCTGTACAAAATTTGGATAAGTAATGCTTCATATCTAAATCCTATAACGTAATGATGCATGATAAACACACCCTGCAATCTAAAGTTCTCATACATAACTTCATGACCATTAATGTGAAGTGTTTAAATTCCATAAATGAGATTATTTGACTCTAGTGAGATTGAACTAAGGAATACAGACAGGCGCACATGCACATACACACATTTTCTGCTATCAAACTACATAGTGACTGAGTATACAGAAGCTTTTGCATTAAAACAGTAATTATTATACTGGGAATGTCTAAGGAAGCAGGTGGTACTCAGTAAAGCTGATGGCCATTGCAACACCCTTGAGACTGTCAAGGAACACAGAGCCCCAAGTATAACTACATGCTGTAACACCAGGCCAGTAATTTGACACTCAACTCATCCCAACAGTCTTATCTCTCCTGAACGCAATTATTACTGTAATAGATAAATCAAGATGGAAGTGACTAAAATAGAAGGTGGAAAGGAGAAAATGCCAAAAGAAATATAATGGCATAAGTGGATCAGAGGAAGAGGATGGAGGACTGATGCATGTGGCTGAGGATTATGTCCAATGGGAGACTCTCATATTGAGAAGGTGGAACTATATTTTGCCAAAAATTGAATTGGGGCGTGAGTTATATATAGATATCAGCATCACGGACATCTGCAATATCTGGACATCTCGACGTCCTCAAAAAAAAATATATACAGAATACAGTGTCAGACCTACAGTCCAGGCATTGGAAGCAGCCCATTTGTCAGCATGTTTTATAATGTTTACTCAACTTTATTATATGAAACTAAATTTAATTATAATCTGCTCCTATTTATAAACAACGTGCCTCAATGGGCACTCATATAAATATTTTACATAGCAATTTAACACCACAGCTCTTAGTTTTCCTTCAGAAAAGGAGGACAAAACAAATAATTCTAATATGATTTCAACAGAAACCAACTGCACTCACCCAGTGGTCTGACTCTTCTTTCTTGGTCTGTTGGTGTAGAAATTTTATCTCGTTTTGCCTTATCGCCAGCAAGTTTTCGAATACTGTTCTCTCTTGCAGTTCCCTTGTAGACATACACTGCAGCTCAGCAACAAGATTTGCTAGTTCTATCTGCTCACACAAACCAGAATACATCATGATGTAAAGTGTAACATACTTTGTAAATCAAGCACTCAATCTGAAGGTTGCAGGATGTGATTTTTAACATCCCAAGTAACTAAAGCAAAAATTTATCTTTCGCGTGGTTCACCATGATATTAGAAATTAAGTTGTGGAGACACAACCATGCTGGTACAACCATTACAAATTGTGTGCTGAAGAAATGTTCCCACCTAATTCAATATAGCCAAGTCACAGAAATTAAACTCTTCAATTCATTTGCAGAAAATGCAACCACAGATATATCAGTGAAGTTAATTTAAATTTGGTGATGATGAGTTCACTTTTGTGAGCCTTCAAAAACCTACAGAGGGCCGATGATAATGTTCTGCCCACTTATCCTTGAGTACAGATGAAATGAGTTCACACACACTGAACAGAGTTTCATGAAACATGATATTGGGGCGTTCTACAAATCTGAACATTGTTTAAATCATGCAAATTTCCTGGACACTTTATATTAGTAAGACTCCCATAAAGAAGAAACAGGTATATAACATCACAATGCTGCTTGTGTGTTCACACCTGTCTCACTTCCAAATCCACATGGCAGTGATTAGAAAGGTTGAGTTTATATCCAACAAATTCTATTATACAAATAACTATCTATTACATGACACTATATACCAGTAATCTGAGATATGGATAGCATCATTAAATAAGCCATTATCAAATCAACCTAAAACATAAGGTACATGCCAATGTTATCCTGTCATCTAATTCTTGGTCTTCCATCCACTCTGGTACCAGTATAATAAACAGAAAATTTTATATATGTCCATGTTTTAATAAACTCATGTCAGAATTTTTCAGCTGCTCAAGAATATCCCTACATTTTACTGGTCCAGACCGTTCATCACTGTGTTCTCATTTAAAGCCAGACTTAATCATACATAGCACAAAATTCTTTCCTTAACCTACTCAGTTATTCAAGAATTTCCCTCCTCTGTGGTTCAAATTGGTGAGCCCTGTGTTCAAGTGCTCTGTCAAACGCAGGAACTGAAAATATTACTGGGACAATTTGAAATGCAGGCTTGTAGAACTGCCCAATATTGACTTGGGTTTAAGGGGCTGGAGTAGTGGAGATTGAGAAAGCACAAACAACATGATGTTGGAACCCACTGGCAAACCGCCACTTAGGATTTGAAGAAGGTTGCTGTGGGATAATGTTAGACAGATCTTAGGGGGATTTATTTTGTAAAAAATAAATAGGGGCATAAGTGACATGAAAGTCTGGCTATAACAGTGGTTCACTACCTGTTATCTCCAGACTCTAGGAATTCCTGCAAGGCTGGGGGCAGGGCCAGCTGGGTTTCATAGGTTGACAAGCCAGACAAACAAAGCTCTCAGCAAGTTTCACAACCCTTGCTGGATTTCAGTAAGTGAAAAATAATTTATGCTCTCATTGTTTTAATATTGAGATCACTAATTGGCTGTCACCTAATTATCTTAGACATTAATGTAAATGCATGGCAAGCCTTTCCTTAAGGAAGGTTGATTAAATAAATATGATTCTAATATCAATAGGGCAGAGACAATTCTAACTCACACGGTGGGCTGCTTCCAGTTGCATTATTTGATGACGTAGACTCTCATTCTCTTCCTGACACCTCATCAGCTGGATAACCATGGTCAGCTCTTCTTTGTTTGTCCCTTCAGCCATATCACCGAGTCTGTTACCAGGTTCTGATTGTTCTACCTGTTTGCAAAGACCACACACTATGTCATGACAAGAAGTGTAAAACACTTCTCAAATTAGTTGTTTTATGTGAATGTTATAGTGATAAATCCTATAAAAATCATTACCAATACATTCATAATTATGTGAAGGTATATGACTTCATTTTGAAAAATACTATTAGATAGCAAAAAAAGAAAGAAACCCTGCTTCTGAGAGTATCACACCTTAAACACTGAAAACAGATACCTCAAATGTAAACTCTCATTCAGCTTGCAGTTGCCTTGATGTTGCTGTATTCATAATGATAGGAAGTGACTACACTCAACTCTCGATTATCCGGGGGCGGATAAACTGGTTTGCGGCTTAACTGGGGCTACCAGGGCTTTTTTGAGGCTTATATGTTGTTTAATATTCATTCACTTTTGTTTCACATGGTGAGTTGTAACACTATTTTCGCACTAGTGTGAACTTAGCTCTGCATTTTTTGTCCCATTATGCTAACACAATGTTCTAGGATAGGGGTGAAAGAATGCAAGGATTTGTGGAAAGTTTCAAGGACAGATACACCGCCCAACTTAGTCTCTTTGTATCGATCTTCAAGTGTGTCAGCAAAATGTCAGGGTGTAAAAGGAAGCATGTTGTTTTAAGTATTCAACAGAAACTTGAAATTATCAATCAGTTGGGAAAAAGAGGTGTAGTTAAATAATTAGCAATGCAATATGGTATTGGAGAACAAACTGTTTGTAATTTGAAAAAACAAAAGAATCAATTAATTTCCTTTGCTTCGTCTTCTAATTCAAGCGGAATGAAGAGAAGAAAAACCATGAAAAAATAAACATATGATGATCTCAACAAAGCAATGCTGATCTGGTTTAATCAACTACATATGAAGATATCAACAAAGCAATGCTGATCTGGTTTAATCAACTAAGGGCACAGGGAACAACAATAACAGGAGCAGTTTCCGCTAAACAAGCGAAATTTTTTTCCAAAGCACTTGAACTGCAAGGAAGTTTTAACGCTTCTTCTGGATGGCTAACACGTTTCAAGCAGCATCATGGAATACAAAAACTAGTATTCAAGGTAAGAATNGGGACTTGTCAGCATCAGATCAATTTTGCACCAATTTTGATAGTTTTGTGAAAAGTGAAAATCTGCTGCCAGAACAAATCTATAATGCCGATGAAACGGGTCTTTATTGGAAATGCTTGCCAACCAGAACATTGGCATTTCAAAATGAAAGACAGGCTCCAGGTCACAAATCCAGTAAGGAGAGATTGACAGCCTTGTGCTATTCTAATGCATCAGGAACACACAGACTAACACCAGTAGTTATCGGCAAAGCGAAAAGACCACGCTCTTTTAAAGGAACAGTAGCTTCAAGTCTGCCTATACATTATTTTAATCAGAAAGGAACTGGGATGAATAGAGCAATATTTAAAGAATGGCTTGATTTTAAATTTGTGCCTCAAGTTCGTGACCATCTAAAATTCCATGGCCTACCTGAGAAAGCTGTGCTCCTCATTGACAATGCGACCTCACATCCTAACGAAAGTCTCCTGAGGTCAGATGATGGAAATATTTTTGTGAAATATTTTCCTCCTAATGTTCCCGCACTTATCCAACCAGTGGATCAAGGATTTATCTCAAGTATGAAGAGAATCTACAGATCAAATTTTCTACAAAAGTACATCGATGAAGGCAATGATCTGACGTGTTTCTGGAAGTCTTTTTCAATGTCAGCTGCCATATATGAGATTTCCACAACCTTTGATAGAGTAAAGCCATCTGTATTGAAAACTTCATGGAAGAAACTGATGCCTTTCATCACTAATGAAGATGATGAAATCCATGGATTCACTGGATTCAGTGAAAATGAGATAGCCATAGAACTGACCAAATCGTCTAACCAAGTTCATGGTGGTGAAGAAGTCAACGAGAAAAATATAAGAGAGTGGTTTGACTGTGACTCGTGTGAGCCGGGCTTCGAAATGTTAAGCAGTGATGAAATCGTAAGTTCATTGGGGGTGCAGCCAGAAGAACGGGAAGAAAGTGAGAATGAGGAAGAGGTGGACAGTGCTGCTAGCAAGAAAATATTACATGGTACTGCTCTTAATCATTTGGAATCCTTACTAGACTATCTTGAGAGTGAAGAGAACAGTTTATTAAGTGACAAGCTAATATTATGTAGGCTTTATATGGATATCCGCAAAAAGGAAAATGACGTGAAAACAACACAGCGAGCCACGAGCAAACCCTGGACGATATCAAGAACCTCCTCATCAAGATAGACAGGCGGCACAATATCTGCCCCATACGAGAAGGACAATAGTAGGACGGACACAAACCTACATGGTTTATAAATTTTGATTATTGACAATACAGGTTTTTTAAATAACATCGAGAAACTTTTTAAAAACTTTACACTACCAGGAAGCTGCCGTGATTGTGAAATGTTCTACTTTATGTTTACTGTGCACTGTAGCGTATAAATGTATATATTTTAAATCAAAACAACTTCTGTGTTGGTAGTTTCCAATGTGTAATGATGTTTCCCTCTGAAGATGGTCTGTAAGCACCGAAACATGTAAGGGAGATAAGTTTTCATATAGTAAAAACTTATAGGTCACATTAGACAGAGTGGTTTGTATTTGTTATTACAGTACTACTTTTAATAAAATTTGTCTTAACCAGGTTTTCGATTACTTGTGATTTCCATCCCCACCATTATCCCGGATAATCGAGAGTTGAGTGTAGATGTCAGCATCACTGACATCTGCGATCTCTGGACACACTGATATCCTCAAAGAAATATATACAGAATACAGTGTCAGACCTACAGTCCAGGCATAGGAAGCAGCCCATTTGTCAGCATGTTTTATAATGTTTACTCAACTTTATTATATGAAACTAAATTTAATTATAATCTGCTCCTATTTATAAACAACGTGCCTCAATGGGCACTCATATAAATATTTTACATAGCAATTTAATACCACAGCTCTTAGTTTTCCTTCAGAAAAGGAGGACAAAACAAATAATTCTAATATGATTTCAACAGAAACCAACTGCACTCACCCAGTGGTCTGGCTTTCCTTTCATGGTCTGCTGGTATAGAAATACTAACTCATTTTGCCTCATCACCAGCAAGTTCTCAAATACCGTTCTCTCTTGCAGTTCCCTTGTAGACATACACTGCAGCTCAGCAACAAGATTTGCTAGTTCTATCTGCTCACACAAACCAGAATACATCATGATGTGAAGTGTAACATACTTTGTAAGCAGCCTCCGTAGTCTAGAGGTATTGTTCCTACCTCATGACTCGTATTACGCGGGTTCAAATACTCAGCGGAGGTCGTCGAATTTTTAAGGGAACAAGTCCTCCGGGAGGGACTTTANTCCTCCCCGCGACTGCATCCGTTCTGCGGTGGTATGACTCACGGCAAATTGCAGCCGCGGCGCGCACTTGATTACACGCACTGTAGATACCTCTCAGCTAGTAGAGCCGGTCTCGCTGGCTGGGCAGGACTGATGGTAAGCACCAGTACCGGTAGGATATAGAGACTGATAGAAATCATAGAGGGAAGCACAATGGACTAATACAGGTCTAAGCGCATGGGGAAACCCACCCTCTCCAATAACTAACTAACATACTTTGTAAATCAAGCACTCAATCTGAATGTTGCAGGATGTGATTTTTAACATCCCAAGTAACTAAAACAAAAATTCATCTTTCGCGTGGTTCACCATGATATTAGAAATTAAGCTGTGGAGACACAGCCATGCTGGTACAACCATTACAAATTGTGCTGACCAAATGTTCCTACCTAATTCAATACAGCCAAGTCACAGAAGTTAAACTCTTCAATTCATTTGCAGAAAATGCAACCACAGATATTTCAGTGAAGTTAAATTAAATTTGGTGATGATGAGTTCACTTTTGTGAGTCTTCAAAAACCTACAGAGGGCCGATGATAATGTTCTGCCCACTTGTCCTTGAGTAGAGATGAAATGAGTTCACACACACTGAACAGAGTTTCATGAAACATGATATTGGGGCGTTCTACAAATCTGAACATTGTTTAAATCATGCAAATTTCCTGGACACTTTATATTAGTAAGACTGCCATAAGGACGGAACAGGTATATAACATCACAGTTCTGCTTGTGTGTTCACACCTGTCTCACTTTCAAATCAACGTGGCAGTGATATGAAAAGTTGAGGTTATATCCAACAAATTCTATTATACCCATTTCCTCCACCATTAAATAAGTGTTACATTTTAGTACTCATTATTCTTGTGTCAAATTCTCAATATGATCTTTCATCCAAGGGTTGTTTATGGTTGGGATGATTTTCATTATTTTTCTCAGGGAATCCAGAAAAATTCCAATGTATGCAGTGATCTGAATATCATTAGCATGTCATTCACAATTACACCACCATCAGTTGACATTCTACAATTTATGTATTTTCTAAATATTGTGACACAGGTAAAAGAGAGAATCTTACTTCTAAGGATACCATATCTTTCACAGTAGGCAGAATTTTACTTTGTTGGCAGTTGACATGATGATGCAGTACTCACAATGTCGGTAAGACTACTTGCATGGGGGAACAACCCATCTGAAGGCAGCTACTAACATGTAGAACAACAAAAACATAGAATCAACACACACAAACATCCATGCCTCAAGTGGGAGTCGAGCCCACAACCGCACTGCCCAAGCAGGCGGAGATAGTTCACACCTTAGACAACGCGGCCACTGTGAACAGACATGTGAGAAATGGATAGCCTCATTAAATAAGCCATTAACAAATAAACCTAAACCTTAAGGTACATGCCGATGTTAACCTGTCATCTCATTCTTGGTGCCAACATGATGAATAGAGAATCTTATTTATGTCCATGTTTAAATCATCTGGCATCAGAATCTTTCAGCAACTCAAGAATATCCCATCATTTTACTGACCCAGACTGTTCATCACTGTGTTCTCATCTCACGCCAGACCATGAACATTATAATTTGTGCCAAACATTTGCTGACAGATCACAGTCCCTTCCCTAACCCTTGAATCTGAAGATATATTTCATGTAAATATATACTCAGAATTCTCTGATTAAAATTGAAAATCAGTTTCACTGCCATAAATTTAAATCTGTTATAACTTTTAGACTTAATCATACACAGCACAAAATTCTTTCCTTAACCTATTCGGTTATTCAAGAATTTCCCTGCTTTGTGGTTCAAATTGGTGAGCCCTGCGTTCAAGCGCTCTGTCAAACGCAGGAACTGAAAATATTACTGGGACAATTTGAAATGCAGGCTTGTAGAACTGCCCAATATTGATGATGGGTTTAAGCAGCTGGAGTAGTGGAGATCGGGAAAGCACAAACAACATGATGTTGGAACCTACTGGCAAACATCCACTTAGGATTTGAAGAAGGTTGCTGTGGGATAATGTTAGACAGATCTTATGGGGATGACCAGAGATTGACGGAAGTGGCTGAGAACAGTGTCGAGTGGAGAGCTTTCCTGTTCGGTATCTACAATTTTATTTCATAAAAAATAAATAGGGGCATAAGTGACATGAAAGTCTGGCTATAACAGTGGTTCACTACCTGTTATCTCCAGACTCTAGGAATTCCTGCAAATGGCTGGGGGGAGGGCCAGCTGGGTTTTCGTAGGTCGACAAGCCAAACAAACAAAGCGAACCATAGTTCTCAGCAAGTTTTACAACTCTTGCTGGATTTCAGTAAGTGAAAAATAATTTATTCTCTCATTGTTTTAATACTGAGATCACTAATTGGCTGTCACCTAATTATCTTAGACATTAATGTAAATGCATGGCAAGCCTTCCCTTAAGGAAAGATGATTAAAAATATATGATTCTAATATCAATAGGGCAGAGACAAGTCTAACTCACATAGTGGGCTGCTTCCACTTGCATTATGTGATGATATAGATTCTCATTCTCTTCCTGACATGTCATCAGCTGGATAACCATGGTCACCTCTTCTTTGTTTGTCCCTTCAGCCATATCACCGAGTTTGTCACCAGGTTCTGACTGTTCTACCTGTTTGCAAAGACCACACACTGTCACGACAAGAAGCGTAATACACTTCTCAAATTAAGTGTTTGACATGAATATTATAGTGAGCACTTCTATGAATATCATTACCAATACATTCAAAATTATACCAAAATCATTGTAACATTTGACATTATATTATTTTATACCGATTTTGAAGAATGTTTCTAGACACAAAAAGAAAGAAATCTTCCTCTAAGGGTATCATACATTGTGGTCTATCGCATCATATGCCTTTGTCAAGTCAAAAAATATTCCTATAAGGTGTAACCATCTATCCATCGCCTCCTGTATACTCTCAATGAAGGTCTAGGAAGCTATTTCTGTCGATTTGTTTTTCCTCAATCCATTTTGCACTTCTGTTAATATGGTATATTTTGTTACAAAGGATATCAATCTGTTATACACCAATTTTTCTAGTATTTTGGAGAAAACCGGCAGAACAGATATTGGCCTGTAATTACACACTTCCTGTCTTTCCTCTTTGTTATATAGTGGTCTTACTTTAGCTATTTTCATCTTATCCGGAAAGACCCCTGATTTTAAAGAGGTATTGAAAATATGTACTGAAGGTTTCTTTATGTAATGTGAACATCTCTTGGCTAAATATTCTGGAATTTCATCAAAGCCTGCAGATGGTTTACCTCTTAGACTTTTTATTACCCTCTCTATTTCAATTTTGGTAATAGGGAGCCAAAACATTGTGTTCATTTGATATTGAATCCTCTGTTGTGAGGTTTTTACTGGAGAATGGTTTACATTATTCGCTAAAAGATCTTCAACATTTTCAATAAAAAAGAAATTCAACATATCTGCCATTTTCTGTGGATTTGATTCTCCCATACTTCTGTTCTTTAAACTAGTTATATAGTCGCCCTGCCAAGAATTTCCAGTTTCTTTATTTATTATTTGCCAAATTGCCTTTGCTTTGTAATGTGAACTTAACATAAACCTATAATTTTGTTTTTTTAGCTTCTGTTATAACCTTTTTATAGATTTTCTGATATCTATTAATGTATTCTAATACATCATTTGAAAAATTTGTATTTTTCTTTAAAGTGTTTGAAAGTCTCATTTTCCAACTTGAAACCTTTATCCCCTGGGTAATCCATTTAATCACATTACAGTTTTTGTTATAAACTGTCTTTAAAGGAAAAGCTCTTTCAAAATAGTACAAAAATCTGTTAAAAAAATACTGTAAGAAGTATTTACTTCATCATGTAAAAGCACATCTTCCCAGGATGCCATCTCAAGTAGATGGTTGAATTCTTCTATATTCCTACCTGAAAACTGTCTTCTTGTAATTTTATTTCCATTTTGTTTTAGACTTATTTACCTTTATATGTAATATCTGTGAAAAATGATCTGAATACCCCAAATCTAACACTTCCATTAAGTTTTTACAGTATAGCTTATCAGTTATCATAACATCTATTAATGATACTGGGTTTTTGTGACACTTGTTGGAGATGTAACTGTATTTATCAAGTTATAAGTTTCTAAAATATTCAGTAATGCACTAAGCTGTGCACTATCTTGCAAAAAATTTATATTCCAGTCACCACACAGAATTAATTTCATACCTTTCATTTGCACTTTAAAAATCACTATTTCCAACTTATTCAAAAATGTATAAAAGTATCGATAAATACAAACTAAAATTAGCTTAAAATCCACTAGTTCCACTTCAGTCATCTCAAAAACATTTTCACTATCCATGCTTCTTAAATAACTTACTTCTCTTGCTTGTAAATTCTTACGTACCCATATACATGAACCTCCACCATTTCTACTAATTCTACTAAAATTTTTTACTAATTTATAGTATTCAGTATTTAATGTTCTCATTTGTTCATCATTTAGCCAATGTTCAGAGAAACATAGGATATCTAAGTAACTTATTTCTCAGACTCTGAACATATGGTGTAACATTAATAATTCATTTGATGTTGAAACCTGTCTCTTGCCAACCTCACTAGTCACTATTTTTATTTCCAGTTGAGGGCTACCCATAAAAAATTCTCGCTTCTATTTGTAGGTAATCTACGAGGTCTTTTTAATTGAACCAATTCTTGCACCATTTTATTTTGCCATCCCTCACTTCTCCTACACAATTCGCCATTTTCTTGACTTCTTTCCCTGTCCTTTTCTTCTCTAGGTTTATTTTTTCTTTCACTGATCCTTGTAGTTCCTTTGTCAGTGGAATATGAGTCCTTTCCTCTTCCATCCCTTGTCCATCCTTCCCTTTCATTATAATTGGGTCAGACTTTTTCTCCCTCAACATATCCAAAATTTCTTTTACTATTCCTTTTGCTATCTGCTCCTTACCTCTTGAATTCATATGTAACCCATGTTTAGTGAACAAGTCCCTTTCGGATTCCACCTCAATAACGCGTGAATTTCCAAAAACCTTCATACATTTTTTAACTTTCTGTTAAACCTTTTCACCTCATCATTTACACATGATTTTTGCTCCAAGTCATGTCTGTGTGGTAGGTTCATAACTAAAACATTTGTGTGAGTATTCTTCTTTGCAAAGTTCCTAATTTGGATCAGTCCCTTATCAGTCTCATTCCTGCTAACATCCTTAGTACCATCCCACACAATGACCAAGTCCTTTTTTGAGAAGTCCTCAATATCATTCACACTTGAAATTAAAATTGTTGTTAGATTTGCGCTAGGTTTCACTAGTCCTTGAACACTGTATTCCACATCTAGGTTATGTCATAATTTAGCCCTTATACGATTGCCACCAAGAAATAAAATCTTATTTCTTGGATTTTGAAGATTCTCCTTTTTTCTTCTAACCTTCCCACTTGTTTGTTGAAGAGTTACCTTTTTGAATTCAGGCTCTTTGAGATTCAACAGCACTTCGAAGCAGTTAGCGGTTATGATAGACTGGTTATCGCGTTGGATTTCCATTCTTCTGATTGTCCTGATGATGGCTTTAAAAGCCGAAACATGTTGCTAAGGTGATGTTGACCTAGACCGTTTTGTTGTTGTGTTGTGACAGATCCCAATAAATAATTGTGTGAACATTATGATTCACTCTGGAAATATACTTACAGATCACAGCCCATTCTGACCCTTGACTCCATACAAATAAATACCTGACACTGTGTGATCACAACTTCATATCAAACAATTTTATTGCTGTAAAATTAAACGCTGTCTTCCTCTCCCACTTATTAACATATACCTCGCAAGTCTTTCTCTGAAATACTCAGTTATGCAAAAATATCCTTGTTATGGGGTCCAAATCAGCGACTCCACTGTTTAAATTCCCTGTGCAGCTGGCAACTGAAAAGATTACTGGGACAATCTGATATTATGCAGGCATGTAGAGCAGTCCAGTGCTGATCGTGGGCTTAAGTGACTTGGGTAGTGGAGATGGGCAGTACAGACTATGGCATGGAGACCTCTTGCAAATGTCCACTCAGAATATGAAAGAGGTTACAGCAGGACAATGATAGATGTTTCTTAGGGACAAGACCAGTGATTGATAGAAATGACTGAGGATAATGTCTAATGGAGGACTTTTGTGTTGCGCATCTGTAACTTTTATATTGTTAAAAATGAATTAAGGCATAATTAATATAAACATCTGGCTATATCAGTGGTTCACTACATTGGATCTCTAGCCTACAAAGGGTCTGTGAACAACTGAGGCATGACCAACTTGACAGTATGGAAGGACCAAGGAACCTAGGACTACATATTTTGTAACTCTTACTGAGATCTATTAATTGAATATTAAATTCTGCTGGCAGTGTTTTAAATCCTGGCCATTAATTGAGAGTCACCTAAATACCCTTATGCATCAACATAAATGGACTGCATAGTAATTCTTAAATAATATTTCTTTTCTGTCTCATATACATCTAAAATTGCTACATGTTTCATCCATCTATGGCAAACATCGGGTATATGTGAGTCCTGCTAAACTTGTTTCACTATATGCTCTATTTTGTGTCACATCTATACTTGATGTTAATTTTTGGCTTTATTTGTTTGTAGAAATAATCAAGAGTTCTTTAAAAGGTCATTAAAATATATCAATTAAAATTCTGTTGTGCTCCATTTGGGGCTATGGCTTGGATATTATATGTGTTACTATATTCATGCCTGTAGTTGTCTGTGCAGGGTTTATATATGCACGTTATGTGTGTTGAGGTGGCCTGTGCTGCTGTAATTCCTTACTGGCTTGGTTGTATTGCTGCGTTTTCCATGTGTGGAGATTTTAAATAGCTTTTAGCTGTACTTACATATACCTGACAACAGATGTATATGGCTGAAACATGTCACAACAACATCAAATGCATATGAGACAGAAAATAAATATTTCATTTCAGACAGTAATACCTGTGACAGAACTGTAATATTAATGTAATACATTACCGTAAAGAATGCCGTCTTATGGGATGTGACTCCATGCAGATATTGTGTAAACCAACGTTTCAATGAACGTATGACCTGCATCTTCAGGGTAGAAGAAAAAAAATTGTGAGTGAGGAACCAGCATGCGTAGGTTGGTTTACACACTAACTGCATAGTGCCACATCTCTGAAGATGGCATTCTTCATAGTCACCACCGTGAAAACCTCAAATCTTACAACATTACCATAATTCTCTTTCCCTAAGTGAAGTACAATGAAAATGAAAGACTCTGTTTTAAATAGGACTGAAGCCACTTATGACTCACCTGGTGGTCTGCCACTTGTTTCAGCAGCTGCTGGTTTAGAATGTCCGTCTCCTTCTGACATTTTGCTAGTTGGGCTTGCGAGGTCAACTTCTCCTCAAGTGACCTTGCAGCCAAGCTCTTCAACTCACCAAGGAGCTCTGCTCGTTCTTCCTGTTTGCAAAAACCACACAATGAACCACTATGCAAAGTGTAACTCATTTCTCAAACCAAAGGTTTCATCTGAATGAAGCAGGATGTGTCTTTTAAAGTATTTCATACGTGAAACTCAAACATACTTCCATGTGATTCACCACAATATCACGAACAAGGCTGTGGAGAGAGTCATGGAATTACAAGCATTACAGTGTGGAGCAGCAGTTCCTGTCTAATTCATGATGACTAAGTCACATAAGATAAAACACACAAAAGTATTGAAGAAAAGCAGTGGCACGCACATAGAGAGCCTGCATAAAAATAACACGCGAGCTGTGCTGAAAGCGAGAGGTAGCTGCTGCAGCACATATAAGCATAGAGCAGGTATCTCTGTGATTTTTTATTTTAAATTTAAATTTAAATTTTAAATATTTAAGCTAAATTGGGAATTTAAAATTTTAAACCAATCGACGAGTCAATATTAATAAAGATTTTAAACATAATTGACAAAACTGACAAGGGGAGTTCTGGAATATCGGGTGCCAATTGATGACAGAGCAATGAACAATTGGAAATCTGGAGTTTAAATGTTAATATTGAGTGCAGTGTGACAGCTACATGAAGTAAAATACACCTGATGATGGCTGGTTGCGGCCGAAACATGTAGTGTGAAAGAAGGGGGACAAGAACTACAATAAAGTGTTACATTTATGACAGAGTTTATATTATACATATAGAAGTGTGGATTGTAACAGGATGCTTAAATATAATATAAATGTAGAAGCGTTTTTGGATAGATGGAGCATCCTTGCTTAGTCACTAAATGAATGTGGGGCATTGTAGTGGTTATTGCTCTTCCTTGGGAAACTACAATTTTGAATCAGGGCCTGAACACTCGTTATGATCAATGTTGCCTTTGTTGAGATTCCTTAAACTGATAAGAGTAATGCAATTTGTAATTATTCCACAATAATTCTCTCTTTTGACACTATATAATTTATGCATTTTGTAGAATTACTTTAAATATCAAAAGAAACACATAGTTCCAAGTAAAATCTCAGTGGGGCTGGCCATTTCATCTCAGATTTCAATGTTTCTTCACTCCTTCAATGTAAATGTTAGGTTACTACCTCAAATTAGAATTTAGCTGCTTCCTTCCACATCCATTTCCTACAAGTAAGCAGTTTTCACCTATCATAAGACAACATCCTTAAATAATCTGTGAAGAAAAATAAAACAGCTCTTATGCCTTAATATTGTCCTAAAATCTTGTTTTCTGGTTTTATTCCTTTAGGTCCAAATGTCAAGAACATAAAATCTTATTTATGTCATCTTTTTAATCATTCCATGCTAGATTTTAAAAACTGTTTTATTACTCAAAATGCACTTAAACATATGGCCCCCTTCCCAGAGACTTCTTTTTGAAAATGGTTTCTTGTAAACATAAATCTGACACCATGAGATTAAAATTACAAATAAAACAGTTTCAGTGCTGTTAAAATGAACGTTTCCTTTCTCTCTAATTTTCTGCCATATGGCTCAAATTTGGGTCCTGTACAGTTATTTACAAAAGTCTCTGTTATGGAATACAGACTGGTGATCCCAGTGTTTGTAGGCTCTTTGTCACCTCCCAACACAGGAACACTGGAGGTATCAGTTAACCTGCAAGCCTGTGAAGTAGACCAGTATAGACCAGTATAGACAGGAGGCTTAGGGTGCTAGGATAGTCGAGATGAGGGAAAAGTATGATGGGGTAAACTGTTTGCAAACATGCAAGTGGAATGCCATGAAGGACATTGCAGGATAACATCAGCTGGCTCTGATGGAGAGGACCAGACATTTGTGGAAGTGACTGAGGATGCTGTCTAATGGAGGTCTTTTTTTAATGTCGAGCATCTGCAATTTTATTTTGTCACAATTGAATTGGGACATAAGCAATGTAATCATCTTGGTACATCATTTCTTCATTACGTGAGATCTCAAGCTCCTTGGGGGTCCATGAAAAATTGAGGTATGACCAGCCTGACAGGAAAAGGAAACAATAGGCCCATAGGTGTGCATATTTTGTAAAGCTTATTGAATTTTAATAAATTAATTACCTTCTACTCTCAATGTTTTAATATTTGACCATTAATCAGCAGTCATCTAATTTATCTTATACATCACTGTAAATGCATACCACAACACCTGCCTTTCCTTAATAAAGGCTGGTTAAAAACGTAAGATTCTAGTTTCAATAGAGCCTAACTCACCTGGTGGGCTTCCTCCATTTTCTTCATGTGCTGTCGTAGACTCTCATTCTCTTCTTTGCAGCTAGCCAGCTGGTTTTCCAAGGTTGCCTTATCCATAACTGTCAATTGAGTTGTATCTTCCTGATCACCATAAATATTTGGTCGTTTTGCCTGCTCACACAAACCACACAATACCTCAACATATGAAGTGTAATACAAATCAACCATTTGATGTACATGGTTGTAGAATTAATTTTTTCTAAAGTCTGTCCTACAGTACACTCACAGGTACTTAAATATGGTTCATCATGAAAATAAAAAAAATATGGCTCCACTGAGAGAAGTATGGGGGTATAAGCATTACATATTCTGTTAAGGAAGTGTTACTGAAAATTAAAGATGACAAAGTCACAGAATTCCACTACTTCATTTATGTTATAGGATTTCTCAGAGCAGATAATTTCACTTTTAATGGGAGCTCAAATTCCTGCAGAGTTCCGTCCATCTGTCCTTTTTGCAAATAAAGTAATTTCAGAAATGCTGAATGGATACGTATCAAATAGGATGTCAGAGACATTTTCAGATTCTAGTTCTTTTATAAATACAACAAATATAATGGGCACTTTATTTTGACCCATTTACCATAGGGAGAAAAGAAATATATATAACATCACAATGCTGCTCACGTCTGAGCCTGTCTCCTTTTCGATTCCACGTGGCATTGATATGAAACTGTTGAGGCACTATGCTACAAGCTGGAAGGTCCCGGGATGAAATCCCGATAGGGTGGATATTTTCAATTTACGTAATCCTTCCAGCCTCACTATGGCCCTGGGGTTGACTCAGCCTCTAACAAAATGAGTACCAGGAACATTCTTGAGGCTAAAGGGCGACTGGCACGTAAGGCTGACAACCTTATTGCCTGTATTAATGATATCAGCAAGAATGAATCTAATGTTGTACTTAGACAATTGAAGAAATTTGTATTAGCTACACAGAATACTAATATGTTTATTGTAACTGTTCCTCATTGACATGATTTACAAGTATCTTCCTGTGTAAATCAGGAAATAGAGATATTTAATAGAAAAATACAAAAAATGATGAAGGCAAATAGAAATGTGAATGTAATTTATGCAAATATGAGTAGAAGTGAATTCACACGTCATGGTATGTACTTGAACTTTTCTGGTAGAGAAAAGGTGGCTATACTAATAGGGGAAAAATATAAGGACACTTGTGGTAAAGCATAAAGAGCCTTCCATTATTTCAAAATGGGAAGAAGTTTATGGAGATTTAAATCAGGTAGAGGTAAAGAATCTAGTAAATGAGAAAAATAATGAAATTACTTTTCTGTAAATCAGTAATATTCACTTATCACTGGACACAATATGAGCAGCGCTATTTACAGCATCGTTAAATAAACCATAAAAAAAGTTTTTATTCTACCATGTTGTTGTTGTTCGTCTTTGATACCTTTGGATGCCAACATCGTGAACAGAAAGTCTTATTTACATCAACATTTTAATCATCCCATCCCAGATTGTGAAAATTTTGGGTCAACACCCAAATCCACTTAAGGATGTGAGCACCTTCCCAGAGACCGCATTTTGAAACAGGTTTCACATAAGTATACATCTGGAACTTTGAGACTAAATTAGAAATTAGTTTTATTACTGCTAAAAAACATGTTTTCTTTCTCTCCAATTTTGTGATGTATGGCTCCGATACAATTCCACAGTATTTTCAGATATTTATAGAACTCTCCATTATGGAGTTCAAACCAGTGACCCCAGTGTTCATACACCCTTTAGCGCATGCCAACAGAGGAGAACAGGAGGCATCCGTTAGTCTGCAGCCATATACAGTTGCCCAGTGTAAACAGTAGACTAAGTAGTCATAAGGAATGCATGAAGAGTATTATGGCGAAAACTCTTAGCAAACTCACACCTGGAATACTTCATGGTTCTAGCAAGATAACATTAGATGGCTCTTTGGTGAGAATACCAGGGATCGATGGAAACGGCTGAGGATCATGTCCACTAAAGGACTTTCAATGTCGAGTGTCTACAATTATATTTTTTCAAAAATGAACATGAACATAAGTAACATACACCTCTAGCTGCACCAGTGGTTCACTATGTGGGATCTCCAGAATACAGGGGGTCCGTGAAGGATCTGATCTACAGAAATGACAAATCAAGGCAACTTACGACTGCATTCTTCACACCTCATATTTGGTGTCATTAATTGCATATCGCTTTCTGGTTTCATTTCTTTATATAATGATAAATATTTGGCATTCATTTAAATATCTTATTCATCAATCAAAATGTACAGCAAAGTAACTCTCCTTAAGGAAGGTACAGCGAAAAGGAAAGATTTTGTCTTCAATAGGACTGAAGCCATTTGGACTCACCTGGTGGTCTGTCATTTGTTTCTTCAGAACTTCCATCTCCTTTTGAAAAGTTGCCAGTTGGTCTTGAAATTTCAACTTTTGTTCAGATGCACTTGCAGCCATAGCCTCCAGCTCCCGAAGGTGTTCTCGTTCCTCCTGTTTGCACAAACCAAAGAATACATACAGATCTGAAGTGTGATATATTTCCCAAACCAAGCATCTGATGTGCACAATGCAGGATGTATCTGTTAGAGTATCTCATACTTTAAGCTCGAACATGCTCTCATGTGGTTCAGAATGATGTTACAAATGTGGCTGTGGGGAGAGAATCATGGTGGTACAATCATTATGACTAATGTGGAGGAAATGGTACTGGCTAGTTCAAGATGACTAAGTCTCACAAGTCCAACATATTTCTTGCTTCACAGGAAATACAACTACTGAAATTTAAGTGAAGAAAATTTTAATTTGATTATGTTGTGTTTGTTGTGCGTGGTGTGAGAACACGAACATAAGCAACGTACACCTCTAGCGGCACCAGAGGTTCACCATGAGGGAGCTCCAAAATACAGGGGGTCCATGAAGGATCTGATCTACAGAAATGGCAAATCAAGGGAACTTATGACTGCATTCTTCACACCTCATGTTTGGTGTCATTAATTGTATATTGCTTTCTGGTTTCATTTTTTTAATATAATGATCAATAATTGGCATTCATCTAAATATCTTATTCATCAATCAAAAGTAACTCTCCTTAAGAAAGGTACAGTGAAAACGAAAGATTCTGTCTTCAACAGGACTGAAGCCATTTGGACTCACCTGGTGGTCTGTCATTTGTTTCTTCAGATGTTGGCGCAGAACTTCCGTCTCCTTTTGAAATGTTGCCAGTTGGTCTTGAAATTTCAACTTTTGTTCAGATGCACTTGCAGCTATAGTCTCCAGCTCCCGAAAAATGTGTTCTCGTTCCTCCTGTTTGCACAAAACACAGAATACATACAGATCCGAAGTGTGATATATTTCCCAAACCTAGCATCTGACGTGCACAACAATAACAATAACAATAAGGAGGACTAAATCAAAACCTTCCTAAACTCTCCCTGTCAGCTATAGCCACCAATAAGAGCCTTCTCACCAACAGAGGTCAGCAGTGCAATAAACCTGCTCAACCCTCATAAGGCACTCGGATACAATCTAATAACAGGCGCTCTACTAAAGAATCTCCCACGAAAAGCCATCATACTACTGACAACTATTTACAATAGCATGATGCAACTATGCTACTTTCATGTGCAATGGAAGTATGCCCAAATCATAATGATATCCAAACCCGGAAAACCACCAACCAAAATCAATTCGTACAGACCGATAAGCCTACTGCCCACACTATCCAAAGTATTTGAAAGACTCATCCTTACAACACTTGCAGAAACAACATCTACTAATGACATAATCCCTATGCACCAACTTGGCTTCCGAGCAAATCATTCCACAATTAAACAGTGCCACTGAATTATCAACAAAATAAAAGAAAGAATCGAAGGAAAGAAAACATGTACCTCGGTCTTTCTCGACGTTCAGCAGGCTTTTGACAAAGTATGGCACAAGTGATTATTGTATAAACTAAAAATGAACCTATCCACACAATTATATCTTACTATAAAATCATATTTGAACGAACGTTACTATCAAGTCAAAATCGACGATAACTATCCAAACACCATTTAATAAGAGCAGGAGTTCCACAGGGCAGCGTCTTGTGCCCCTTTCTGTACCTAATCTTTACAGCTGATGTCCCACTAACAGACAATATGCTAATGGCAACATTCGCCAATGACACAGCAATAATGTCATCAGACCAAGATCCAAATACAGCCTCTCAAAAACTGCAGCAACACATCAACTCACTGCAAAACTGGATGGAACAATGGAAAATCAAAGTAAATCCTGCAAAATCCTACCAAATAACATTTACAGCAAGAAGAGCTGTCTACCCGCAAGTTAGTATCAACAACACCCTCATACCTATCAAACAACCTCTTCAACCAACCAGCAACAGAAAGAAGACTAAATAGAATGTGGTCAGAGGATCTCATTATATAAGCACCAGGGAATCATCACAGGATGATACCTGCTTCAATATTACATACACCCATCCCTTTTACAAATTACTCTATTTATGTATATTGAGTAGATTGTAAAATAAATATTTAAAAAAAAATTAATGCACACAACACAGTGATTCTCTTTTCCTAAGCAAGTCTGGGTGAAAATGAAATAAGATTGAAGCCACTCTTGCTCACCTTGTGTTCTCTGCTTGCGCTGATCACCTTTTCTTGTAGAATTTTCATCTCCTTTTGATAGCTAACCAATTGGTCTCCTAGGTTCAGCCTTTCCTCACTTTCCTTTGCAGCCACAGTCTCCAGCTGGTCAGCAGGCCTTTCTCGTTTTTTCTGTTAGGACAAATTGCAAAATACATCATGAAGTTAAGTGTAATACATTCTCACACCATCTGTTTCATGTGAATGGTGCAGGATGATTCTGTTAAAGTCTCCCATACTCTAAACTCAAACACACCCATGTCATTCACCATGATACTACAAATGTGGTCCTGGAAACAGAGTAATGGTGGTATAATCATTAGAGCTGGCGTAGGAGAAATGTTACTGCCTAATTCAAAACAGCCAAGTTACTGACATTACAAATATTATTTACCTAGCAGAAAATGCAACCACAGAAATTTCAGTGAAGTAAATTCCAATTTTATTATGATGTGTTCACTTTTAATGGGAGCTGAAATTCCTGCATCCATCAGCCTTTTAGTATAGATCAAGCGAGTTCAGAAACAATGAACAGATTTCAAACAAAATTTCACAAAATTCTGTCTAAACATTACAGTTCTGATTAAAACCTGAGAAATATTATGGAGACATTCTTTAGGCCTACAATCCTATCTCAAAAAAAGAGCTTCAAAAGTCAGTGTGCTCTGTGTGTCTCAGCCTGTCTCCCTTTCAGCTGCACATGGCAGTGATGCATTCACAGGAGCCTTCCACTGGTCCCTATCCTGAGCCAGATCAATCCGATCCATACCATCCCATCCTATCCCTTTTAATCTGGACTGCTGAGTCCCGGTAGGGGAAGACATTTCTCCTCTACACGTCATCCAGACCAGTTCTGGGGCCCACCCAGCTTCCTATCCAGTGGGTACTGGGNAGGAACACGTAAACTATGTCTGTATTTGCAAAGAATCCCATGGAAATACCATTACTTCTTCTGGTACACAGTGACCTCCTGGTGTCTATATGATACTGTTGGAGGCACTCCTTTCATGCATTTATGAGCAATCTTAATGGATATACAAAGATACACTATCTTATGCACCGCCTTCTCTGGAATTTCTTCTGTCCAATTAGAGTGCCAGATTGTTTGATGCAAAGAAAACACAATGTAAAATATAATTGTCACTATTCAAAATTTCACTGCATGGAATAACAATGCTTCATCAGCTACTATTGCCATTTTCCCGTTTTTGAATTTTGTTTAATAAAAGATGTACTGCCCTTTGGGGTATAATGATAAATCCAGACTTTGTGCGTTGGTGTTCGAGCGTGTTTGTGTGTGTGCACGCGCGCTCTTTGTACTCTTGATGCATGCTTCCATATCAAAACTGTCTTCATGTGCTATAGACGTGAAATTTTGTATCCGATATATTTCATCAGTGTGGGTTTTGAGTTAACAGTTCAACTACAGATAAGATCTTTTGTATTTATCAGATACTGGAGAAAAATGGGAGTACAATGATACAGTATATCAGCTATTCACAGATTTCAGGAAAACCTATGATTCAGTTAGGAGAGAAGTATTGTACAATATTCTGATAGAGTTTGGGATACCCATGAAACTAGTTAGGTTGATTAAAATGTGTTTACACGAAATGTACAGTAAAGTTCGTGTAGGTAAACATTTGTCTGATCAATTTCCTATCCAAAATGATCTAAAACAAGGAGATGCTTTATCACCACTCCTTTTCAACTTTGCTTTAGAATGTGCCATTAGGAAGGTCCAGGGAAACCAGGTGGGACTGAAATTAAACAGGACACATCAGATGTTGGCTTATGCTGATGATGTGAATCTACTGGGTGATAATGTAGATACCATAAAGGAAACACAAAAACTTTAATTGGTGCAAGTAAAGAGGTTGGTCTAGAAGTAAACACAGAAACACTTTGCTTTAGAATGTGCCATTAGGAAGGTCCAGGGAAACCAGGTGGGACTGAAATTAAACAGGACACATCAGATGTTGGCTTATGCTGATGATGTGAATCTACTGGGTGATAATGTAGATACCATAAAGGAAACACAAAAACTTTAATTGGTGCAAGTAAAGAGGTTGGTCTAGAAGTAAACACAGAAACACTTTGCTTTAGAATGTGCCATTAGGAAGGTCCAGGGAAACCAGGTGGGACTGAAATTAAACAGGACACATCAGATGTTGGCTTATGCTGATGATGTGAATCTACTGGGTGATAATGTAGATACCATAAAGGAAACACAAAAACTTTAATTGGTGCAAGTAAAGAGGTTGGTCTAGAAGTAAACACAGAAACACTTTGCTTTAGAATGTGCCATTAGGAAGGTCCAGGGAAACCAGGTGGGACTGAAATTAAACAGGACACATCAGATGTTGGCTTATGCTGATGATGTGAATCTACTGGGTGATAATGTAGATACCATAAAGGAAACACAAAAACTTTAATTGGTGCAAGTAAAGAGGTTGGTCTAGAAGTAAACACAGAAACACTTTGCTTTAGAATGTGCCATTAGGAAGGTCCAGGGAAACCAGGTGGGACTGAAATTAAACAGGACACATCAGATGTTGGCTTATGCTGATGATGTGAATCTACTGGGTGATAATGTAGATACCATAAAGGAAACACAAAAACTTTAATTGGTGCAAGTAAAGAGGTTGGTCTAGAAGTAAACACAGAAACACTTTGCTTTAGAATGTGCCATTAGGAAGGTCCAGGGAAACCAGGTGGGACTGAAATTAAACAGGACACATCAGATGTTGGCTTATGCTGATGATGTGAATCTACTGGGTGATAATGTAGATACCATAAAGGAAACACAAAAACTTTAATTGGTGCAAGTAAAGAGGTTGGTCTAGAAGTAAACACAGAAACACTTTGCTTTAGAATGTGCCATTAGGAAGGTCCAGGGAAACCAGGTGGGACTGAAATTAAACAGGACACATCAGATGTTGGCTTATGCTGATGATGTGAATCTACTGGGTGATAATGTAGATACCATAAAGGAAACACAAAAACTTTAATTGGTGCAAGTAAAGAGGTTGGTCTAGAAGTAAACACAGAAACACTTTGCTTTAGAATGTGCCATTAGGAAGGTCCAGGGAAACCAGGTGGGACTGAAATTAAACAGGACACATCAGATGTTGGCTTATGCTGATGATGTGAATCTACTGGGTGATAATGTAGATACCATAAAGGAAACACAAAAACTTTAATTGGTGCAAGTAAAGAGGTTGGTCTAGAAGTAAACACAGAAACACTTTGCTTTAGAATGTGCCATTAGGAAGGTCCAGGGAAACCAGGTGGGACTGAAATTAAACAGGACACATCAGATGTTGGCTTATGCTGATGATGTGAATCTACTGGGTGATAATGTAGATACCATAAAGGAAACACAAAAACTTTAATTGGTGCAAGTAAAGAGGTTGGTCTAGAAGTAAACACAGAAANTTATTTTCAAAGGCAATCTATTGTAAGCTTTAATACCCATATTTATGACACTTTTTTTAGAGGTAGATGTGCTACAGCTTAGTACATGGAAGTCCTCTTTTCTTCTAGTATTATATTCATATAAATCTGAATTTCTAGTAGTATACAGATTAAATTTCTGAAAGTAGCACAATACCTCAAAGATGTACAGAGAGGTAACAGTTAGGATCTTTAGATCTTTAAAGATTGGTCTGCATGTAGTTCTACTATTTACGCCTTTTATTAATCGAAGTATCCTTTTTTGTATTTTCAGTATTTTACTGCTTTCACACTCTCCCCCCCAAAAAATCAAACCATAACTTATTAAGGACTGAAATTTAGCAAAATAAACATTCCTGAGCGTAGAGAAACTCACTACATCTTTCAAGGATTTTATAATATAACACACCTTATTTAATTCTAGACATAAAGATTGAATATGTGAGCTCCATTTTATATTTTATATCATATTCTTATAATATATAATTATTGTCGAGTTATTAAGAATTAATGCTAATGTTGATCTTAAAGCGATCACTGCCTACCTCAGAGATAACTTTTGAGTGACAGACGAATCTGAAGGAAAACGCCATTGATTGTCACCATCCTTTGGGCCAAAATTAAAACTTCAGGTTTCCCAAAGTAGCAGCAATAATGACTACAATGCAACACTGAGTTACTGACAAAGGATGCATACTCTGTTTATCTGCATGTGATTCTGCTTAAATTATAAATATATGGTCTCGAGTACTAAGGGTCTTGGACCTGAGAAAGACTGCGCTGGCAAGGACCAGCAGCATATACAAAAGACAGACAGGTCCTCTCATTAGAGAGGGCGCCCACAAAGAACAAGACCGTAGCTGTCAAACAGTAATAAAGATCTGGTTGCAAGCCCCATATGGGTGTCTTATGCCAAGACAGGCTAGCCGACTGACCGTTGGTCATAAAATGAGACTCAGACTCAGACAGTCCAGATTTGGATAGACCCGTGTAGAGGTGTGAAGCAGAGTTGAAATGAGAGGAACGCTTCAGTCAGTCGAATCAAGTGAGTGGAAGTGTACAGTGCACAGTACAGCTTCGAAGTAAGATGACATCGAGATTAACGGTGCAGGGAGAATTGTAATACTGGACATGATAATTGTACTCGCTAGCATAAAAGTGAGCGATCGATAAACGTATTCGTTCCGATCTGAAGACCCACACCATATTTATTTGTGACGCATCACACAGCAGACACGTTACAATATTTTCAGCAAAAAAAAATATATAATTCAACACTACATAACCTCACCTACTGCAGTATCAATGAAGAAGTACACATTGTATACCATAACGCTTCCTACCATCTCGTTCTTTGTCTTCCATCGCTTTACATGCCAATATGAGGAACAGAAAACCCTATTTACATAACCTTTTGAATCATCATGTGCCAAGTTGTAAAAATTTGTATTTCCCTGAG